CCCCCCCCCTCTCTCTCTCTCTCTTTCTCTTTCCCGCTCGTTTTAATTCTTATTCGCTCGTTTTCGAGAGCGCCGCTCGTATAATTCACAATAATGCCGATCGTCGGCGTTGAAATGACCGCGTAAAAGGCCGGACGCAGGCATAAATTAAAATATCAAATGCGCGAATACCGGCGCGCGCAGTGTTTTTACAGCGTTAATTACGCGCTACCAATTATATTAACGGCGCGTTTCAATTAAGCTAATATACACCCGAGACATACATCGGCCCCAGTAGGCGAGTATGCGCGCACTTTCAATAAAAGGGATACTAAATTTCGCAAATTGCGAATTGGGCAACACGAATTTAGTATGCCGGCCGTGATTGTGTGTGTATGTATGTGTGTATATGTGTGTTTGTGTGTGTGTATGTGCGAAAAACATGATGGTTCCTCTCGATTACGGATTAAAGCGAAGTAAATTCGAATTTGCACGCGTTCACGTGCGATTCGCTTGAAAGGTGAAATATTAATCTCGCGGAAATTTTCATTTAGAATATTGCGCGGGGAAATCGCTTCTTTTGCTTCCACGCACAATGTAAGAATCTGAGCAAAATGTAGTCGAAATTTCGTGCGTGTATACTGGATGACCTTCGCCTGATACATTGATATATCTTTGCCTAACTCATTCCTCTTTGCCTGACGTATTGATCGCCTACATTAGCACCAACCTGCAGTATTCCTCACAACGCTTTAACTGAGAACGTGAGAGATTTTAACGAGATGGTGTTTCGCAATACTTTTTTCCTCTCTATGGCAAAATTGTCATTTTACTAATACGGAGTTACCATTAAAAGAAATAAGCAGAATTACTTCGTTATAATTTCCCGATAAGTTTATATTTTATATTTCCGAAAATCTCTCCAAGATGTATGTAAAGCTGTTCTCGCGTAATTTGTTTTACAATTTAAAAAATCTGCGAAAATTTGCGAGATGCAGAACATGCACAAAATGTACTTCGATCAACTCTTTTTGAAAGCACAGAGAACGTTGCGCAAAGAAATGTTCGCGCAGCAAAAATGTAGGAAATGTCATGAAAAGGCTTTCGGTTTCTTCTGATCCGTATATATCAAATTTCCGCAAAAAAATCATAAACTAATGTAATCGTGGAATTCTTATCGAAAAATATGCCAAAATAACCTGATAAAATAAAAGATAAACCAGTTCATTTAAACATAAATGTTGTAAATTCGAGTTTAAAATATTGCTTGAGAATATTGGCCCAGGGAATATCTTAAAATCTCCTGTGCCGAGAAGGAAAGAAGAAGCGATAACGCGAGTACGGTAAGTAACCCCGCGATCGGATGAGACCACGGCGTTTTTTTCTATTATCTAAAAGCCTCCACGCCGCTATTTTCTCTAAGCAGCTTCACGCACATCCGAGAAAAATAAGCTCGTAGCCGCGCTCGGATGCGGCGGCAGCCGGGAATGGGAGTCCCTAATTTTCAACGATGGACTTGGAACGACTATAACGACGACGCGCGGCGAGAAATTTTTCGATCCGCGCTGAATAATCCTTCCTCCGCCGCCGCTTTTACCTCAGCCTTCTCATCTCGTGTATCGAGAAATAACGTCAGGATCAAATTAAATTAAAGCAATCTCGAAATTCAATAGGGAATACCGCGATCGCACTCGGATCTGCCGTTCCCCCATTCGTTCCCCCTGTTTCCTCCTTCCCTCCTCCTCCTCTCTGTCCCTCTGCGACTTTTTTCTCCTTGCGCCGCGCGAGATACATCCCGCGTTGTGAAAGCTATGAAAAATATGTTCCACTCGGTTGACGGTTATTTTATTGGAGGCGAATTACGTACTTGGCCCACTTTACCACCGCGAAGCCGCCGTTGCCGCCGCCGTGACGTCTTTTCATTGAAATTGATATGCGGTGCTGTAAATTTCAGTGACGATATTTCCGATCCTCGTCGAGAGAAAAAGGCTCTGGTGTGTGTGTGTATATATATATGTATATGTATATATACATACCTATCACCGCCGTCGCATTTCTCACCCGTCAAAAATAACCCAATAAAAGATCACCGGGTTTCATCGGTGTTTTTTCCAATTTGAACTTTCTCGGCCATTTCGACGGTGCGTGCGAAGAAGGATAGGAGGGAGAATGGGTGGGTGGCTGAGAGGGGGCTAGGGGATCGAATTGATTTTCGGTACAAGTTCACAGATATGTGCGAGCGGCATAATATAATCCCATCTCGATTTCCATTTCACACCGCTGTCATTTTCGCTTGTTCTCTTCTTTTTTTTTCGCTCCACGCGACGCCTTCGGGAACATTGGAATACAATATCGACGCTTGATATTCGCTCAAAACGTTATTTTCGAACGCAAATCGCGGATCGCATAGCAACTGAAGTGCTCCACAAGAGGCTATGCAAATTTTATCAGAAAAGGATGTCCCGTTAATGCAGGCATTTGATCTTTGTCTAACTTAACGTCTATTGAAGCTAGCTGTTCAGGTAGACGAGTGTACGTAAATTTGGCAACAACTTTATGACTCGATTTGCAAAGATTACACCCTTAGAAACGCATCATACGGCACTAGTACTTATCATATAGAATAATGAAAAAGGAACACAAAAAGAATGATGAAATTTTTCTGAAATATGTGAAACGTAATATGGAAATTTGAGTACATATATATATATACACAACTTTTAGTCGCCAGTTGTTGCTGCATCAATGTAGAAAAATTTACATTATTGCATGATATGAATTTAAAATTGGAAATTTAAATTTTAAACAATTTTTGAAACTTGGAAAAATTGTGGAGCTTCCATCATCGATTGTCTCATATCGTGAAAGTCTATCTGTGTGATCTGGTCTAGCTATCGATGATAAAAGCTCTACAATTTTTTTTAAACGCATGTAGGAGGTAAATATATTGTATTGAATTTCGACAGTTGAATTGAACTGTATTTCTGGTTAGCTACCTAGACCAAGTCAAGCTGATAGGTGTACGTAAATTTGATAGTAGTTTTATATATTACTCGACTTGCAAAGGATTTGTATTCTTTATGAGTGGCTCATATGTAGCACTCATATTTATCACATAAAATAGCGAAATGGAGAAACACGAAAGAAAAGAATTATCAAAATTTATTCACAAACAATGTTTCACCTACGATATAACGTGAAAATTTGAGTGTAACTTTTAATGTAACTTTCAGTAAACTTGTGTTTACATAAACATGATCAAAAGATCATATTATTGCACAACGCAAATTTAATAATTAACTCACTACAGTATTTGTTTTATGAATGTAATTAAAATTGAAAAGGTTGTAAAAGTTACGCGGAATATTTCACGTTGTGATAATCATAATGGACCCCAGTAGATAAAGATCGATTGCCTATTGCCAGTGGGAGGAAAATATGTCCTTTAAATCTCGTTTCCGATTGAGACTTCTCGCAAGAGGATACAGTTTGTGTATATAATGACCACGATTTTTCGGCTCGCGAGGACGAACTTCCGGCTGAAACGATCCATTCCAGAAGGGTTCGGCAAACTTTCCAGCGCGGTCCGCGACGCTGCTCTGTCTCTCGTCGCGGCCCGAATTAAAAATCCGGCCGTTCCCTAAACAAACTCTTCCGCGCGCGCGCGCTCTTCTTTTCATTTCTCCGCGCGCGCGATAAATTACACTCAACGCCCGGGATAACTCACGCGGTAAATCGCCTGAAAATAGCGAAAGGCGCTCCGGAGTTAACGCGTTTTAAGCGAAGGCAGGGAGGGGGGACGCGGGTGGTGACGGCGGGGACGATGGGGCGGGGGAGGGGAGAGTGGATATGCGGGATCGCCGAGAAAGGGTCGACATTTTCCGGCGGCATTTCCCGACGAGGATATACCGTCGGAACGAGGCGGCGCCTTAACGAGGCCACCTACGCGGCGCCGGCAAGGTAAACAAGATTTTCGCGCGTCGCTCGGCGGAATTCAGCATCCGGACGACGATCAGGCTGGACTACCGACCTAAACGGACGGACGAAGAGACGAAGGACCGGGTGTGTGTTCGCTTGCGCGGCGATTCGCTTTAATTCGGACGTACGCAAATGAATTGCTTTAGCGGCGGTAATCGCCTTTGGAAATCCAGCTTCGCGCCAGCAGACGGAGGCTAGCCGCAATCGAATGTCGGCCGGTCTGACGAAATGGGCGAATCCACCACGTGCGCAAATTACCGCGCGCACGTGGTGGACGAGAGGCCGTTGTTCAAATGGCGAAGCAGGTCGGAGGCGGAGGAGAGAGAGGGTGATCCTGATTGCACTTCGCCTGGACAAAATTATCCAACGGCGGCGCCAAGCTACTATTAAGCTCTATTAAGGGTTATAATACTTCCGGAGCTTTAGCTGCTTATATCTACATTCTTTTAATCTTGTCGAGCATTCGATTGTCCAGCGGTTGTGTGGGCTCCCCCCTCCCTCAATTTGTTTACTTTTTAACTAAAGTCTTGCTCCAATTGAGTGAGATATTCGAAGTGTATCTACACTATCAGAGGAAAAATATCTACGAGATAAAAGAAAAATATCTAAAATATTTATTCGCGCGGCGGTTGCTAATAGCATGTTCACTTAAATTCAAATTCTTTCACTTAAATACTTGTTGTCATGTAAAGCTAAGGTCTTCAGGAAACGTACGTATGTACTTTTATCATTTGAAAGATATTTTATGTTAGTGTAAATAAACATATTTGTGGTGCCCTTCGAATAAATATTTTTTGTTTCTTTTTCCCATGTGCAAACGCGCGCCATTGTTTCTTGGATCTTCCTCAAATAATCTCGAATATATACATAACTCTCGCACAGTGACTTGCTTTTGTTAGTAATGATCAATGCGATTTACTTAAAATGTAGCATGCATTACGTAACACAACGATTTGTAAGCCCGGATTATATGCTCACCACTGCCCGTTGATATTCCATGGCGTCCAGTCTCCCACCGAATCCTCAGATTCACGTCCAAGTCCAGGTCCCAACATCCAGTCCCTAGAACATTCCCTCATCGTCCCACGTCGATTACACTTTCCCGACTTTATCACTCCGCTACATTGCACTCGCGACCGCGGTCGCTCCGACGATATTTAACGATTTAACGGAAAGTACGAGTTATTACGACGCCCCGGGGACACTGGCGAGTCGCGTGTAAACAAAACGGGAGCCAAAGACTGCGCGCGCGTTCGACAACAGAAAAAAAGAAAACATTTCGTTCTCGTGAACGATGATATTTATTCAGATGAACGGGTGATTCTTCATTCGTAAACAGAATTTCAACTTTTAATAGCGACGATGGAAAGATACGCGAAAAAGAGAACAAGATAGAGAAACGATACACGAGATAGAGAAAAAAATGATTGAGTTAATGAGACACCTTTCTGCTTGAACGAATTGGTATGATGAGTTTTTTATCAATTGATTCAATGATTACGCTTTGGTTGATAACTATATCAACTTACTGTCATGCTAACAGATAACTTGTTCAATAGATATAATATTTCTTTGAAAGTGGATGACTATCGATTTTGTCGACCCAATCGCTTTTTTTCAATATATTGAATTTCGTTTTCGAGAGAAATGACAGTCTGTCGCGTATGAAATATTTTGAAAATTTCATCACGATCGCAGTTACATTTCAAAGTCATAGGCACCGGCCTGTGAATCGATTGTGATGATATCTATTACCTTAGCGTAAAAAAATTCGTGAAAAATGAAAAGTCTCATCGAATTCGCCAATTCGTCGAAGCAACGGCTCGTGTCGAAATCTCGAGATAATCAATCGATGTCGCGGAAAAGCGCGATGATAAAGAACGTAAGAAAGACGCGTCTTTCCTTATGAATGCAGAGGTGGTAAATAGTTTTACTTATTTCCTGGAGCCTCCTCCGCGCTCCGCGAGTAAGTAACACGATTTCCCGCAAATTTGCCGGGATTCGGACTGTTCCAATGCTCCTGACGTGTTGACTCTCTACCTTGTCGCAGGCGGCGGGAGATCCTCAAGCCCTGCTTAGGTGCCTCAGGGACGTGTCCTTGAGCGAACTGGTGTCGGTGCCTGTTAAAGGATTGGAGTTCGCGCCGGCTTTCGGTCCCAGCATAGACGGCGTCGTGATTGATCCTGGCGATCCCGAGGATCAGGACTACACCCTGCAGGTCGACACGATCAATACGCTCAACAACATTCTGCTGAGGAAAGACGTCGTGGCGAAACTGTCGAGGTATACAACAGCTGTTGTCTCTTTTGCTCGTCTTCCCCTCCTCTTCTCCTTGTCCTCCCCAACAATCGTTATAACTCGCGAGATCGAGTCCCGAGATAAGAAGAAATAATGGCGAGAGAAAATAATAGCGAAAATAAATAGCGCGGAAAACAGCGGCGGCGATGTCCTGCTGCAGGACCCGTCGCGGAAACATAAAATCGCATCTCGCGTTCGCGGAGATCTCCTCTTCATTCTTTATTATGAAATACGACAAGCTCGCGCAAACAACGCCAGGGAGATCCACAAATTTCAGGCTTCGCAGTCTCCAATGACAGAGATCCCACGATTTAAGAGTTTTTAGAGTTTAAGAGTTGAGAACATATTAAAATAAAAAAAAGAAAGAAAAAGAAAAGAGAGAGAAATAGCCGAGACTGTTCGCGCAGAATGTCCGCGGCAAGGGCACGGCTGGCCATTCCTTTTTATTCCCTAGACTGAAAAAGATGTAAACGGCTTTTATGAGACACGATAGAATGTTTAGTCGGGGTCGTTAAATTTGTATCTTATTTTTATGGTCTATCTACTGTAGAGTCCAAGAAATAAAGAGCGACGGCCGCGTGTATGCTACGTATATTCTCCGCGCGCGTTGTTAAATCCTGCTATATTTTCTCCGTCCTCCTCTAAATTTTTCATTAGCTCTCTAAATATTCTATAATACGTATGATCCGGCATACAAGGATCCGGCATAAGCAGGAACACGAATTTCCGCAAGGTTCGTGGAATTTAAGAATCTCGTGGTTAAAAGTGGGGACGCTTTGTGCGTCGGTCAACTTTTTCTACATTTAAACGAAACTTATCGCATGCCAAAATTGCAGATCACGAAATCGTTAACATTTCTCCGCGAAACTCTCATTTTATCGTACGACGGGTGAGAAGAAGAGGCATCCCTGAATTTGCAGGTACGATCTGATGGTGGGGGTGGTTCGCTCGGAAGCGTATTTTTCGTTAACCGCGGACGATGCTCAGTATGGAATCGAGGCTGACAGGAGGACGAAGATCCTGCGCGAATTCGTGCGGAATACGTACACGTATCACCAGCCCGAGATCCTGGCTACCATAATAAACGAATACACGGATTGGGAGCGACCTGTGCAGCATCCTGTTAATATCAGGTAATTCTAAAGAGACTTTAAATGAAAATTTTCAGATGAAAATAATCTCATTGATTTTAATTGCCTTTCTCATTTCACTGAGAAAGATAGTTCTGCTAATTTAACAAAATATCAATATCCGCAACAAATGGTCAGTATAGAACGGCAAAAAATTCCGTTATGGAAACAAATAATTTGTTGTTTTCAATTTGCCACTGTAGCAACAGTTATATAACGGATACAGATGCTACTGCACAGTTAATCCAAATATCACATCATATCATATCAAAAATTTGATTTGTTAGCAATGCAGAGATTAAAAATGACGTTCAGCAAGTCAGATTTATTAACAAAGAAGTGTTTCTTTCTCCAAGAAATTGGAGAAAGAAATAACGACGCCTCAGACGTTCGGATACCGAATCTGTTTCTTCGAAACCACTCATTTTCTGTGCTGCAATATTTCACGTATACACGCACCTAACAGAAGCTATCTCGCACAGACTATAATGAGAGTTTCATTTGTCTTCGAACAAACCGTTTCTTGAATTTTGTACATCCAACAAATCATGTAATTTGTATCTCAAGCAATGTATGTCTGTTAAAATGAAAAATAATTTGTAACGGTAACTATTCGTTTCCGTAACAACCATCAAACAGTAAACGTGCTTTTGCTCTGGTAACAAAAGGGTTTCTCTTCTACTTTTTTATTTCTTACAATATACAATTGTATTGACTTCCTTTCCCCCTTTGTTATGTGATTATTTTCTTACATGTTGGAATATATCATTGCTAAAACACTTCATTGGGTTTTTGTTCATTAAACGCCACTTGATTAACAATTTATATATTTGTGTATTGGTCCGCGAAGATTAAGAGTAATACGCGCGATTGAATTGATAGCACTGATATCCTAAGGATTTTCCATAATTTTATTTCGGCCGTGGTATCACACCTGTATTACTTATTCAAATTTATTTTCAATCAAAATTTGGGCAGTGTTCGAAATGACGCAACCCTGGAAACCATAAAGGGGATTGTTCATTTTTTCAGGGACGAGACCCTGGAGGCCTTGGGAGACGCGAATACGGTCGCCCCAGCGACGAGAACCGCGGATCTTCACAGCCAATCCCATAGGAACTCGTATCTATATGTCTTCGATTACCAGACGAAATTCGGGGACTACCCTCAGGTTAGTCTGATCGACCAAGAAAATATTTCCTATAACCATAACACGAAAAGAAGGAAAAGAGAAAAAAGAAAAGGGACGGAATACTGCATACAAAAAATTTACAAAGTAGAGAACGCCTAAAAACATTTAGATACATATATTTTTTTATATTATTATATTGTCTCATATTATTTTATATTGTATTATTATATTATTTTATGTTGTTATTACTGATCTATATTTTTTATGTAAATATTAGTAACGTGTGTATTATTTGATTAAAAAAATACAAAATAGTGGTACGATATTTTAAACGAACACTCCACTATTTTAATAATAAAAACTCGATGTATTAATTTAAAATACAATTATTATAAATATTCCCGTTCGTTTTTCATTTGATTTATTTACTACATATGTACGAGAAGAGGAAGTTGGAATGCTCCGGAAACGCGGCAACGCGGCGGTGGCTCCAGTTCGTATCTGATTTCGGAAACTTACGAGAGGAGTACGGCCCCTTTCCACCCCCCCTTCCCTTTGCCAGCACCTAGTTTCAAACTTCGTATGAATTTCGGTCGTGTGATTATTAATGCCACATATATATTAGCAATATCCCTTCCTCTTTTCCCGCGAGATGTCTAACAAGAAGCGGATGCGCGGAGAGGAAATTCGAAAATTGCGCCGTGACGATGAGATCAGTTATTACCGTGGCGCGGAATTTCGGGATGTCGCGTTAAGACCGAGATAAGGTCGTGTTAAAAATGTCGTCAGCCACATCGTCAGTTATTCACTCTCTAAATTTCCTCGAGTAAAGTACCGCCCGAAAGGCAGAGACAGCCGAGTTATTCGTCTGACTCCTCACTCATACAGACTGAATTCTTCTACTCGGAATCGTCGACTGAGATTTTCAGTCGAAATCGAAGAGTGAGTCTGATGGACTTCATCGTTCGCCACTGAAACAAATTCACTTCGATCGACTGAAACCTCCACTCATGTGAATTAATAAACACTCACTCACCTTTGTGATTTCGAATTTTGGAGTGAAGTTCCGCTATAAGAAATTTACAGAGCGTCTTTTAGAGAGATTATATCCGTTAGCTAACGCGATTGCTGATTCATCCTATATGCACATACGTTATTCACATTTTTATGTTCTCCTAAAATCGATGAAAGCAACAGCTGGCTAGCGATTAGTTGGCGATGTGACAAGGGAACGGTTAAAGGGCTTCCCCGAAACATGCATTCGTATGGATTCGAGTTAAATGCTCACCCTTGTGATTCCGAGTGGTGGTACTTTCACCGCCACATAAGCGTGCCACGATTCGAATGAATTTTTATTTGCTTTAAGCGAGATTTCGCTACAACAAATCTCGAAGATTACGAGGATCTTCATTATCGCGATCATTAACCTATCCCCTTCTGTGTGCGTATATATTCTTTTTACTTACATTTACTTTTTTATAAAAATCAATGAAAGTGATAGCCAGCTGATGATTATTGGCGACTAGAAAGAAACGATCAAGGAAGCCTTGAGTGAGGAAATATTGAATGATTATTATAGTCGAAACGTATTTGCACAACTCAAATTGTATTTGCGCATCATTACAATTTTTTTGTTTGCATTTAACATCTGCAACGTGTATTGTCTTTATATTCTTTTATTTTGAAGTATTGGTTTTTCGTATTATCAGTTATCGTCTGTTGTAACTTGGTAATGATGAATCATATACTTAGATTCTTTTATTGATTTCATATTTTGAGCTTTATTTTTCACAAGTTTTTTAAGAATGTCTTATTAGGTTGTTTTTCTTTTTTTAACGATTTTTTATGAAGATTTTGTTAAGTTTTTTATGAGTGTTTTGTTGGGTTGTTTCTCTCTCTCTCTCTCTCTCGTACGATTTTTTATAGAGAACTCTTCTTAGGTTTTTTTTAGAAATTTTTGTATTTTAAATTCAGTTTGGATTTGAGTCAAAGACTCACCCCCTTGTGATTTTGAGTGGAATAACATTATCACCAATGTCTTCATCTTCTTATCATTTCGAATGAATTTTCAATCACTTTGAGTGAGACTACAAATTTTAATAAAGAGGATTACGCGTCTTTACTATCGCGATCACTGATCCATCTTGTGGGCGTATTTATGTGTATATTCTGTTAACGTCAATGAAAGCAACAGCTAGCTAGTGATTATCAAAGAAAGGGTCGAAGGAAGCGCTTGAAGCTTCCCCGAACAAGAATATTATTTCCATATTTATACTCTCATAAGTTCGGCGAGCAACAACAGCCGCGGCGGTCGAATTCTAAAAGAATTCCAAATAGGGGTCGATTTGAAATTCCACGCTCACCTCGCACCTGCAGCCCGCCGTCACGTGCTTTTTCTTTCTCACCCTATACCGTCATTTCACCGGCACCTTTATACCTTACACCCGGCGCACTTTGCATACGAATATCGTCTGGCACCTCGACCCAGGACGATCACCGTTGCCGTCGCTGGCGAAATGAAAGTGCATTAAACGTTCAACACGGGCACACATACGCCTCGCTCCCCTTACCCCCTCGTCCTGCGTCCCAGGCCAACGGAAAGAATAAGGATCGCGCGTAAACGCCACCCACGAACTTATTGCGCCGGCACGACTGCATCCGGCGAAACGTTTCGGTCGTGGACATTTGCCGGATGTTTTGCAGAAACGCCGCACTAACTGGTTGTTTCTTATTCGCGTACACGCGAGAGCGAACCGTGTAAACTCGACTGTTACGAATATTTCCGTTATTAGCGGACTGCAGCCGCGAATTATCTTGGTCGAGTGATCTAGTTATCCTTAGTAATTTGAGAGAGAGAGAGAGAGAGAGAGAGAGAGAGAGAAGAGGGAAGAGAGAGACAACACTTACTAGCTTCTAATTACTAGACACTTAGAGCCGCGAGTCTGCAGATACGTTATGACTGTTGCTTAGTCGAGGAAACGGGGACGCAACCAACAAATTCGTGATGTGCGAATTACTTGGGATAATTTCGCAACAGTGCCTTCGTAATCGAAAGATCAATTGCGTCATAACTGCGGTATGACGTATTCATTATTTCATCGGCGACGAACACTAATCTTCCTGTTTTTCCCGATTTTCATTAATCGCGATCACGGATTATCCGACAAATGCGATCGCGTCCATCGCGATCATCGCGTACATCGACAATTCGGTCGGTCATTCGGTAATCATTAAATCCGCCTCGCATTTCGCCCAATCTCGGAATCGGAAACATCACGTGGCCGAAACGCGGCTCCCCGCGACCGCCCACTAATACTACTCGATCGCGCTACTTCTCGTGAATAATTCGAATTTTTCGAGGACGCGAGAGAGCTGCGGGCGTTCGGGGGCTCGTTAAAATGACGCGCAAACGCCGAGGTTTGCGGAATCGGCCGAGGCATTCTTACAATTTCAACCAGCGGCGCTCGGCCGCTGGTCCCCGGCAGATTCCATGAGTGCTTTCGTATGATCGAGCGTAAAAGAGGGGTTCCACGACCTCAGAAAAATTCTCTTGAATTCTGCGGTCACTCTCGATCCACTCGCCAAGCGCTTCGCCCTCCCTCACCTCCCCAACCTGCTGCAGTCGATTGAGCCTTCAGAGGCGCGATCGAAGCTGTCTCGAGACGACTGGAATTTTTTTTAGCCGCGCTGTCTTGGCCGCCAGAGTTCACGCTGCGTGCTATTATTGTAATGTGCAGTACGCCTTAAAAAAAAAAAAAAAAAAAAAACATTGATGTCACCTTAAATATTTCGCCGATCAATAACTCTGACGATTACCTTCGCAGAGGCCGGGCTGCATTCACGGAGAGGAGCTGCCGTATTTTTTCGGGGCGCCCTTAGTCGGAGGTTTATCCCATTGGCCGAAGAACTATACCAGGGCCGAGATAGCGCTCTCTGAGAGCGTGATACTTTACCTGACAAACTTCGCACGCACCGGGTAAGTCGTGAAAAAAGAGCATTCCCGCGCGGCGCTCGTAAAATTGGAAACTCGCAGTCCCGCAGTCGCTGCTGCTATTAACGATTTTGTTCTCCATTGTCAGGAATCCGAACGAGGGCACTCCTGATCCTGGACCCCTCGGCTCCAGGCCGGAAAGGACCAAGTTCAAGAATATCGATTGGACCGCCTATGAGGCCGTCCATAAAAAATATCTTAGTATAGGTAGGCCCACTTCGTGTTTTATTCCTTTATCCGATATCACCCGCGGTATAGTTTATCGATTTTGTCACATTTTATTTTTAGAAGTTTATTTTCTGCTTCATTTTTTATCATAAAATATCAGACGCCGCGCTAACAAAAACTTCCATTGTATATTTTTATTTTATCTATTTAATATGTTGTCTCCTATTATGTCTTTTTCTTCATGTATTGATTAATATCCGTTTTCATTATCGAAGAATAAATAAAGGATTTGTAAATCACACTTTTTTTACTGAAATTGCCTTTGCAGAGATTAAATCGAAATTGAAGAACCACTATAGGGCCCACCGCCTTTCTTTTTGGCTAAACCTGGTGCCTGATCTTCACAAACCCGGCTCAGACGACGTTCCTAGGTCGCATCACCTTCTCGACGCCGAGCAGGTGCGTCAATCTCCTTATAGAAGCAATTACTCATTACTAATTAAAGCTCCTGGCTACTCGCAGCGCGATTTTTGATTGGTGACGTCAGAAGCGAGTAAGTGCATGCGCCAAATTCCTACAAAATACGTCCAAACAAAAAGATATATACAAAAAATGATACTTGCAATGGATTAAGCACACTTCTAAAATACTCCAAATATAGTCCTTTTGCTCTAACAATCAATAAATATATGTGTAAAATCTTCCTTTTTAACCTATAGATTTTACTTATTATCTTCTCAATATAATTTTAGATTATTTATTAATTATTAGAACGAAAAAAAGTGTTCCAAGTAGTTTAGAGAATTTTATGCTCAATCAATTGCAAACATCATTTTTTGAATATATCTTTTGATTTCGACATACTTTGTAACATTTTTGGACATGCATTTCTTCACTTCCGAAGAAATTCCGTCATAAATCAAAATGTACGCGAAGAGTAGCCACAGGAATCTTAATTATACAATTATCTTATATATTAGATTTGGTTTCCGGGTTTCAGCCGCGTAGATTCTTCTTTGTCTGATTTCGACGTTTTGCGAACATTTCAACCCGACATTTCCAGAATCTGACAGACCAACAAATTTTCCCCCATCCTTTCTCCTGATAACCACCCTCCACTTCTCTGCTTCCTCTCCCTTCCTCTATGTCAACCACTATATAAAGATAGATCTCTCAGGAGCAACTCGGCACCGGGTCGTTCCTCCCTGATAAAGCGGACTAAAATGTTCGCGAAATCGATCAGACAAAGAAGAATCCACGCGACTCAAACCCGGAAACCAAATCTAATTATCATCTATCTGTCATCTAATTATCATATATCAGAAAAACGTAAAAAAAAAGTAATTTCGATCTCAAATAAAATTTCCTAAATCGTTTTTTAAATATTTTTCCTCGTTACGAATTATAAAGTAGATAAAGTAGATGTAGCTAATAATGATATAACAAATGAAAACGATGTTATTGAATAAAAATCATTTGGCAAAGTTTCTCGATTGGACCTGAGTTTAGAAAGTATCCCATCCACCAGGTACCACCCAGATTCATCCAGAGGCTGCCGACGACCGCGAGGACGACCACTCTGGAAGTAACCTCCATGGAGAAGACGTCGTTTAACGTGTCGACAGCCATCCCCAGCGAGCTGGCCTTCGAGGACACCACGGCTCAGCCGGAGGACGGCTTCGCCGCGTACTCCACGGCCCTGAGCGTGACGATCGCGATCGGCTGCAGCCTGCTGGTGCTGAACGTGCTGATCTTCGCCGGGGTGTACTACCAGCGCGACCGTAGTAACCACCAGCACCAGAACTGCTCGAAGAAGCGCCAGGAGAACGGCCAGATGCCGAACAACATCTGCGGCGAGCTGGAGACCAAGACCGCCGAGCGCCACCACATACAGCACATACCGCCGCCGGAATTCGCCGACCTCCAGAATAATACCTGTCACGTGCCTATGCCGCCCCCGCCGCCGAAGAACACGAAACCCGGCAAGCCCGGCCAGAACCTCATCATCAGCCCGAACCAGCTTCAGCAGGAGAGCCTAGCCATGAGCGGCACCGGGACCCTGAAGAAGGGACACAATCACCCGCAGGTCATGGAGGAGCTGAGAGTCTGACTCTAGGAGACACCGCGGCCTGTCAAGTAACACGGCCGCGACAGACCCGGACAGACCGCGGAACCGCCGGACGTCACCGCGAGATCACTTCCGAGTGGTATTTTTCCGTCGACAGCCTGGCTGTGAGCGACCTCGCACGAGAGAAAGAGAGAGAGAGAGAGGCTCCTCTCTCCGCAGCTCGTGCGGAAGTTGAGGACCCGCCACTGAGAGGCTCGGTGCAGCAATGTGGCCGCGAACAGCTCGGGATTACAATACGAAAGCTAAAGCCAATATGAGGAACTACTTTGAGAATTGGTGTTCTCCGTGACACTCGAATCAAGAGAAGAGGGAAAGGCGATTCTTTAAGGTCCTCGGGACTGTGAGACTCTGAGACACTGATGGGGAATGATGAGGAAGGGACGGTGAATGAAGGATCTTTGTTGTTACGCGAGAAGTATTACGTATTAGTGCAGGGGCGTAGCTGGGATTTTGGGTCCGGATAGCGACTTTCGCTATCGATTCTCATGTAGAGGCAACAGTAGAAAGAGAGAGAAAGAGAGAGGAAGAGAAGGTCAATAAACGACTGTACGGGCCTAGAAGCCTTACATCCTTTCGCTACGCCCCTGCGTTAGTGACAACGCCATACTGTTATCGTTTTCTACCTTTCGAATTTGCGACCAACTGCCGAAAAATTACGTAGTCTTCGACGGATAGGCGAATCTGCGTAAGTAGAACTCTTCATCTCCGGAAAAAAGCGAGCTTTGGAGCGAACTTCCAAAGAGTGATTCCGAAAATTCATCGCGAAGTGAAAAATGCGCGAACGGCACATTGATTTTCCATTAATACGCCGCGCGCGCGAACTACTTGATCTGTTCTCGAATTACCCTACTTTTAAGTCACTCTACTTCCATCACATTACTTCGTGTCGTTTATGTCGCTCTAAGAGTTATATTTATCTTCCTATTTAAAAGTTCTTACTACTTGTTATTAAAAATAAATATCCTCTCTCTTATACGTTGCGAGAATATTCAATGCATTATTTTTATTTTGATAAAAATAATCTATTTTTAAAGTTACACACTTTATGATAGATTTCTTTACATCAATGCTTTAGCTAATTCCGGACAGACCTGATTTGTTTTCCAATCAAATTATTTCGACTCCAATCGATTATTTCATACCAATTTGGCGAGAACGCTGAAAACGAAAATTTATAAGCTTTTTATATATATTTTTTTTTCGTTACTTCCTTCCATTATCTTTCCATGATATATAGACTGAAGGTTCGAGTTAAATCGTACCGATACTGTCCTCGTTCTTCCGTGTAATGATGATGATAATGATGATGATAATGATGATGAAAATGATGATGATGATAAAGACGATGACGATGGTGATGTCGATTTGAGTCGCTGCCACGACGATTCATTTCTATGACGTCGATCGATCAAATGCTCAATTAAAGTCCCAGTTGACCCTTTCCTTCCCAACGACTACTACGTTTCTACGTAATTTCCACAATGTGCACATTCGTTTTCAACGATAATAACACTTCCTCACGAGAAGCTTCCGCGGAACAAAATTCCCCGATAATCTGGTCGAAAATAAATAACATACGATAAGAATTCTGACAAATTATATTGTGCAGAACAATATTCCTGTAATTCTGTTCCGAATTCAAGTGTGAAGTACACGTCAAATTTTTGCAGAACGATAATTCGATAGTTTCACTAAGAATTAGATTATAAAATAACTAAAAAAAAATCACGACGCAAATTTTTGCAAGAGAATAAAGTGTTCCGATGATTTTCTGAGAACGAAAGGGTTTAAGCAATCGACCGTGTCCCGACCGAATAAAAATTCTTTTGTAATAATTAAGGACAAAACGGAAGTCGAGCGATTCGACGCACTAAACAGCATACTGCCAAACGATCGCGAGCCGAAGATGAAAAATTGCGAATCATCAAGTGGAAAGTCGTGGAGGTTGAGAGGCCGCGGCGAAACGAGAGAAAAAAGTAACGTTTTTAACCCATCGATAATTCGAGAGAATGGGACAACTGCAAATTTAATTAATCCCTTTAAAAGTCTGGAGATTTCTGATAAGCGAGGCGGGTACTCGCGTGAGCATTGATTGATTTGTAAGACACCATTTTCATCGACAATTGTTCCCGCTACGTTAATCTTAGCGACACATTCAATTAAATTTATATTCAATTTCGTAAGGTATGAATTTAAGAGAGATGATTTAATCGGACCTTTTCATTGAGTGCCGTTTCTTCAAGCGCAGCCGTTACAATTGTTACGTCCATATCGCGCTATTTTTAAGACTGAGAACTTATTTATAAGGAAGAAGGAGAGATTAAATTTAGGATTGTCCTGTTTTTTTAAGGGGTTAAAACGTGGGTTCTTCGAAAATTCAGGCGGCGACAGACTGCTGAAGGGACTGAGCGAGTTGCGAGTTAGATAAATGTAAATAAAGGATAATTAAACTTAGGTCTGTCGCTGATGCTGTTAACGAGCGAATGGTACTGGGAGGGCTCGGGAATAGCTCCGATTGTAATAATACTGCACGTCGACGAGAGAAACGGTATGTCAGCGTAGTCGGGAGCACTGGACGTAATTTTAAATTTGTATATAATTGACATTACAATAAACTATATATAATAAACTACCAGCTACTTCAACCCCTGTTCCACCTGTCCCGAGAGGCAGATCTCATTATCATCAGTTCGCGAGGAGAGACCAAATTACGCGCCGTCGAGAAATCGATCGCTTAAAAATATATTCGCCCGGGATTAAATTAACCGAACATACTCGAAAATGGAGACGTGATTTCGAGATAAAGTCAGGAATAGATGCCTCAAAACTAGATCATTCAAAAACTAAATCTGGAGAAATATATCCAATTAACAAATGTATATTAAATATTGTCTGAAACCAATTCTCATGTATTTCCGTTCGTTTACTGAATATATACCAAATCGCGTATCAAAAGTAAATCAAAATTAAATCGGGGGAAATATATATCAAAATTAAAAGTATCTTAACGAATCTATCTTAAGATATCTTAAGGAATTGAACGAATCTTGTGGTGAAATTTGGAATCTGAGGATTTTTGAACATTTTCGAAAGAGAGAAAGAAAGAGAAGAGAGGAATTGTCCATGTTGTTTGGTGAACATAAAATTTTATTCGCTCGTTCGTTGAAGCTCTACAGTTTGAATATCGTAGTCGCGACACACATGTTATGACAAGTTTTGCAAAACTCCATTCGCGAGCCCCGATTCGAACTAATACGAGGCTCCATCTAAGACACAAGGTACAAAAAGATGGGGTTGGTTCCTTTGCCTTTGACACACGAACCCTGCGATCAGAGACGCTTTTATTTTGCTTTTAGTGGCAGTTAAAAGCGAGCGCAACCGCTCGCTCTCCCTCAAAACTCGCGGTACGGAGGAGAAACGTTTCGCAATTTGACAAATAACCGTTATCCGAAGTGTCACGTGATACTAGCTTTGAAATTATTAACTTTATAAACTACAATATATCACTTAGAGAAGATAATCAAGCAAGAGTTGGCGCCTGTAATTTTTGTTTCAAAAAATTTTAAATTAATTTGTAACTTATTACTTGTATTTACTTAAGACTTAAATTAATTTTTAATTAATTAATTAAATTAATCCGCCAGAGAATTTCAGATGCCTGCATATAAAGGTGAAAAAAAATTAAATGAGAATTAAATCAAAATATACATAAAGGTATTACAACAATAATCAAATAAGTGATTAAATAGAGAAATTAACAAAAAAAATTGTTATATAATTATAATTTTCTTAATTGTACCGTTTGACAAAATTGTATAATTTTCTTAGAAAAAACTTGATATATATATTAAATATAAGTTAAGTAAAGTTTAATCTGTCGACTAATCGACAGATAAGACGAACGGTTCGCTTTAACAAATATGGCCCATCCTCTACTATTAGGAACAAAAATTTCTCCATCTTTCGACCGTCGTGAAGTCGTCATCAGCAATTTTTGTTCCTCTGATCGCGGTTCGCCGCGCGGACATAAACGCTTTCACCCGCACAGTATACTTCCTATCGTGTCCCCTAATTGTTTACAATAATACGGTACAATCTGTGTATGCAATTGCTACAACTACGTAGCACGAAGCTGAAACGATAATCCGCCATTGCTACAGTCAGGCTTGGAAAGCGTTATAATTTCGGTGAATTTAATTTTCGATGTCACGGTCACGGAAAAGTGAACTTCATTTTGTAACGATAATTTATCTATACACGAGTACAGAGTGCCTGCGAACATCGTGTGAAATATGTTTTTCCTCGTAATTTACCCCGATAACCGTCATCGAGACGAATTCAACAACGTGTCACAAACGTTGTTGAAGGTCTCTCGCGTTTAGGAAAGCAGGAAGATATCGTCGATTCTCTGGAAAAAAGAAAAACTTGCGTGACAAAATTCTGTTCTACGTTCTGCCCTTTCCTATTCTGTTCTCTTCACGAGATTTCACCTTCTCTTTCCCTACATTACGAGCACAGGACATCTTGCATACGTATCGTTCGCACCGGAATTTGAACTCATCGAAATTATACCGATTTCGATCCACCGTTGCTACTCGACTAGGACCCTTACTTTATGCTACAGCAAACAATAAACAATAGCAAAAGGACCGCTCCTTCTCTCGTTCGACATAACCACTCCTATAACGAAGTTCTCGTCTCGACATATTTATATATTTATATACCTTTGTATAATTATATATATATATAATAAGTCGTAAATGCACTTGAGGCTCCGGTCTAGTCGGAACATTCGTTTCAATTGTACCCCTCAACATTAATTAGCCTAATTGGAGCTCTTTACCGCTATCAAGTCTCTTTTAGCACCACGCGTTGAACACTAAGAAACAATTCCAACAATTATATTTAATATTAATAATGTCACTGTGTTAAATATTAATATTAGATATCGATACAAGTGTGCGACATTACGAGATGTCCATATTGAAGATAAATAATAACAATCGTACAGTATAAAATGTTAGTTTCCTTCTTTCTTATTAATTCTCAATAAAAGTCTTCTAAGCTTCCTCTCAACGAAAGTACTTGACTCGTTAATCTCTTAATTTAGTGTTCAGTTGCACGAAGTCTCTCTCTCGAGATCTAACGATGAAACAAGGAGACAATATTTCTCGGTTGTTAGAAAAGTGCTTATGCCGCAAACGTAACCGTCATCGGTCGAATATCAATTGATAATCGACGAGCAATTAAAGTGACTGCTCGATTCACTACACGACGATCATTTCGACTAGATCGGCATACTTCGGTTTACTTATCAGTTACATCTATGGGAAAGACATCGCCTGCAACTTTCCTGCGATGCTTCGCTCCTTCTCCACGAAGAGTAGGATACACCGCGCGGTTCCCTTTAAGCTTTCTCGTAAGGACCGCATCGCACTCCCAAGAGAAAGATTAACGGGATAAATATTCATGAATTTATACATTTATGAATTGGGCAATTTATAAATGTACGACTTTCATTATATTTATACAAGGAAAATTTCTTCATTCTCTCGCCGCCTGGGATTATTGCAGGCGAGTGTCTTTCCCTGCGAAACAAATAAAAGAGGGATGCGCACACGTTTAAGGGCGGATTCGAGAAAGAAAGAGAAGGAGAAAGAGAGAAAGAAAGAAAGAGAGAGAAAGAGAGTTCCACTCTTCTCTCAAGTCTTGTAAAATTCCGAAACAAATAATTCTCATGATCCAAATTAATGTCAAGTCCCGAGAAATTAATCACTCGATCACGGACTAATTTGTTTCGACATGTATTGTTTCGCAAAATGTGATGAAGTGTAGACCAATTAATTGGTTTGTCTGTTGCGCTGAATTTCGAATCTAAACCGCAAAATCGATGTAATTTAATAAAGCAGGCGAAAACGCTAGTCGAGTGAGCTAATTGAGTAACGTGTAACTCGACAATACGAACGACACAATCACTTACGATGGTGAGATATGATTGATTGATTCGTGATCGTTGGGTCATTATATTATATTTGTGCTAACAAATCATAATCACAGTAACATACAAATTCAACATATACACGAGTGATGATTACGATGAAGCCTTCCGCGTGAAAGTATAATTGAGCCCTCACAACTTTTCCCTATATTAAACTTCATAGATCCGCCCTCGAACGCGTTGCCTCGAAATAGTGCTCGGAAAAACCATCTCGCGGTACATACTCAATATTGCTGTGCGACACTGTCGGATTAACGCTACACGACACGTTATATAGGGGCTGGCTAGAGAGAGATAGTGCCTGTCCCTCTGCACTCGTCTCTGTCAATTTTGTCCAAAAATATATGTTACTTCGCGTCGTCACGGCTTTAAGTGAACAAAAGCCAGCCAAGTAAACGAACCTTTCTTATTTGGAGAAGTAACTTATTCATACGGAGGCATGAATATACTACAAATTATACAGATTATGATATACAAGTGGATAATGGATAAATTTGATTTTTATACCGAATGTGAGTATATCGATTAATTCACTCGTTATTCTAAATTTATCAAATTTTATTTCTTACTATTCTCAGCATAATTCGATGTATTCGATGTATCGAATGGAAAATATGAGCAGTCAATAAAATATTCTGGCAAAATTGTAATTTTCTGTACATAAAATGCGCACAACTCAAGTATGGTGAAAATAAGTATTTGTAGTATGTGAAAATAATTCGTGTCGCGCTTAGGCGATCTGCGAGTGCAAAGGGACAGAGACGACGTGGCTAGGGCTCGTGGAGAGATTTCGCGTGAAGCACGGCTAATAATTGATTTATTACTCCGACAAGCCTCGATTAATCGTCTTCTAGAGAAACATTCGACGGGTGTTTGCGTTTGGCGTAGCGTAGGCGTCTCCTCTCTTGCACAAATGACCAAACGTCCGTTTTTAACAAATTCAATTGAACTCAACGATGCCTTTCTCGAATTGCGCGGATTCCGCACGGATTCTCGGACACGATTAAATTTACCGTTTGTACACGTGCGACTTACAATTGTCATCTAAATTCAACCGTTAATGCCCTGAATTTAAATTCAAAAGTTAATAATCCAAATGCAATTGTCGGCAGCTCGAGTGCAAATCGAGTTGCCGGTAATTTACACTTTGCATCGAGCAGTTTTACAACATCGTATAACGAGGCGATTCACTCTTGATTCAGGTGTTAACTTCTCGGACATCTTCCAAACGTCCCGCGGGACGTTCCTCGGAAACATTTGTGCAATTAACTCGTTCGGGGGAAATAGAACGGATACATGTGTACACAGGTGCGATTGAACGTTTGCGGAATATATCACACAGGAGAGCACAAGGCAAGCGACGACTCCCAATGAAAGTGAACTCGCAGGTGACTTTGGTCGTTTGTGCACGCACGCGTAACTCCCCTAACGGCGTCGGCCTACAGACTTGAGTCTCGTTATCAAGTTATAGTCGCTTATTATCAAGAGATATCGAAAAACGTCTATAAAGATTCGTAATACGTGGTACATTAGAAAGATCCTCGAACGAACAACACCTCGCCGATAAACACGTGCTGTCTTTGAGAAACTCGCGAACTCATCGTAATTAGCTTAGTAGCGGCTTAATTAAATCCCACGGAGAACGATTACTTTCAGTCATGCTTCGCCCATTTCTTTCCCCTCTTATATCCTCCACCTTTCTTCTCACTAAGTACACGCGATCGAGCTGTGTTCCTTCTCCTCAAGCTTCGCCTGTCTTTTGTGCGCGTTGGTTACAATACAGAATCTCCGAACGAAGAGACAGTGTGTATGTGTGTGTACGTGTGCTCAAACTTGGAAGGATGTAGCGGTGATTTCCACTAATCGCAGACCAGCCGGCGAATTGATTCTTTCCCTACGGCGACCATCAATCGATCGAACACACCTGACATTTAAGAAAGACAAAGAGACGCCTCAGCCGTCTCGCAATAATTCATATTCCATTGACAAATGTAACTTTTGAATATCGAACGAAACGAATGAAAAAGATCAAATGCCACGTGAGACAAGTGACATCATAAATAATTTTAGTTGAGCAGAAATATGTCACTGAAAAAGAATATATCGCGCAAACAGCACTAAACAACAATTGAACACAATAGCATAAAATAATTAAAAAAATTGCATATATGACGGATTAATCAGACACTCATTGATATTGCAATCATGTAATCGATATGTATGGCCAATTCTTTCTGTTATTTCAAAGTCTCTAAGCTCTGACGTGTCTGGAATTCAATCGAAAGCATAAATGTATCTCGAGGAATCTCGATTGAGTTACCGCTGTAGATAAGAAGTCAATCGCAAAGATTAGAAGACACTTTCGATAAGAATGATGATATGTAGGATTCATCAGAAGCCGAGAGATATTGGTTAAGATCGACATAAACGCCGCCGTGACGATTCAACTCCGCAACCCCCTCGCGTCGATTGGTCACAGACACGTTATCACAATCATCACACGAACTCCTATGCGAATAACAATATCAATTTCTACGATAGTCATCCCACAATTATCCCTAATTGTCCTCACTACAAATTGACACTTGCGACACGTCCGAATGAAAGCCTCACCGCTTTCGCGTTGATTGAAAAACCATCGAATTGTATTCGTGACTGCAATATCCGCGGGAACCGCGTTCCGCGCCGAGATATTTGTAATTCTACGCGAGAGGGTTGAACCAGTTCGACTGTAGGGGTTGAGAGGGGCAGCGAAGGGGATTCACGTGGATTCCGCAGCTATCATCGTTTCAAGCTTAAACGGAGAGTGACTCCCTAGAGGAACACCCCGACGCGAGGGGTGTGCTCGCCTGTTTACATGAGTGTGTATGTATGTGTTGCTTTTTTTCGTTTTTTTTTCTTTTATCATTATCTTTGCACGAAGCCGGCCCGAAAACAACGCAAGTAGCTAGTATTAGATATCGCTCGAGTTCGTCTAGTAGCACTTGAAACGATACTTAGGGCCCGAGATCGGCGACGAAGGGCCCCTGTTCCCTTATCGACGTCAGAAGAAGCCAGCAGCGTCTCGCAATGGTATGGTGATTCGTGTCAGGAGATTGACCGCGATCTCTTTTTCCCCTGTTCGTTTCTCTGTCTCCTTGGATACAGACGAATCTCCCTAGCAGATACAGCCGCTCTCCCCCTCCGACTCGGAGCCGTTCTGCATCGGCGATTGATTCTGCAAGTCGACAGCTGCTTTTGTCTGTTAAGGCGTGTGCATTTTTTCAAGCGTGTGCATTCTTATCACAAACGGTAATCTCATTTCTCTCTCTCTCTCTCTCTCACACACACACACACACACATACAGACACACATACATACACTTCGATGTTTCTCGGAAAAAGATAATTAAATCCCGCAATCCTGACTACGATTAAAATACATTGAAACAAAAAAAGTCAGGGTACGTTGAAGTAAATTAAAAGTGCGCGATCGTGAGATACACGTTGGAATTGAAAATTGAGAGACATTAACGGTCCAAACTGAAACATACTAAAATCGACAGGAAGCGAGAAATTAGAGCACGTCGAAATTGAGAAGCAGATCACAGTCGAAGCCTGATATGTATGAACAAATTGAAAGAGTTGAAACATATATACACACGTACTAAAATTATGTACATGTAAAACTTGAAACACATTAAAATACAATTACAATGACATTTGGTACGCTTCTAATATGTACATGATACATCCCTCGTGTATCCCAAGATTTCTCTTTCTCGTATGACGTGAACTCCTGCTGTATTCGACATATCTTTAGCTCTCAATTTTCAGCTCAGGCAATTATCCGACTGATCTCGCCGAGAAAAGGGGTGTAAAAGTGTGTATTGCGAAAAATAAGATACCAAGAACTGATGCAATGTTTGCAATTTGGCAATGTTATTGGCCAGTAAATACATTATTGCACTTGGTAAACATTTGATTGATAGCCTTAAACTTAATCAATGCGTGTCGATGTTTTCGATTAAACGCTACAATGAGTTCATACAAACCATGATAAAGTACATACAATGCAGTCCTTAGTGATACACTACGGTAATGACGATTTTTTTTTCAGCAATATCTTCCTACCAAATTACTCAAATGTTTAAATGTCCATCCGATCAATTATAATTCAATAACCGTCGCCGTTAAATCGACGATTAATTTGTCTCTGATTAATAATAATCATATGACAATACAATATAGCCTGATTATGTACTACATCGCGCGATTTAATTTCTGCCTATCAGAGCTGAAAAAGGTGACAATCGAAAAGCGTATAAAAGTTCGAAAACGGGACGGAGAGTGTCATAACATTACGTGTTATAAGCCTGTTAAAGCACAGAGAAAATGTGCCGTGAAGCAAACTATCACAGAATGTAAAACTAAAAATAGATATGTCAATCGAAAAGTCAATCGAAAGTTCGGAAATGAGCCGAATTGACCAATTCGAAAATTGATCTCCTAATTTAATACGCTAAAAATTAATCGACCATCGATACATTATCGACTCAATTCGAGAATATACAGCAATATCTTTTGAGATATTAAATTATTCAAAAATATTATGTACTAAAAAAAAAAAAAATTTGCCTTTCCAATCAATTTGTTAATTCTCGTAACTTTGCTTTTCCGATAATTACGTTTGACGGATCTCTCGAGGATGCTAGTACGAGAAGAGACGATTGAAGAAGAAATACGCAAGTCTCAAGCAAAGCAAAAAAAAAAGGAAAAAAAGATTAAAACGCACTCGAAAAAATATTTTCGAGAAAGGCAGGTTGAAAAATAAAGGAGAAACGACGGAAAAGTGGCATAAGGGATAAAAAAATACAACGGACGAGAAAACAACGATTAAAAATAATGGTGTCTGAAGATTCCTTTTTTTTTATATATAAATTAAAACGTTACAATGATGGACGAATCGTCAACAAACGAGTCATTAAAATTAGCTTACTGGAAATCAGAGTTCTTCTCTATCGTTATCCCAATTGTCATTCTGTACACAACTTTAGACAAACGTATTCTCCCTTTTCTCTTCGGTTTAGCGTGTATACGTGAACAAAACTAAATAGACTAAGAAAAGACAACACACGAGTAAGATTTCAACGAAAAGGAAAAAAATACAATGCTTCGATTATGCACGGTTAAGTCCGGGACTGTACAAGGGTCGTTCGTTTATATTATTGTACTCTTAAAGTATTCGTAGAAAAGAGATATAATTAACTGCTAATTAGTTATCCACAAATACCGTAGAAAAATTGTTTTCAAATCCTCCCTCGCTTTCGATTTTTCTTCTGTTAAATATATATATTTCGAGTTTTCTTTAGCGATATAGTTAACATACTGCGTCAGCTGCTATATTCATTTTTTTCGTTTTCTTTTTTCTACAATGTCCGACAGAGCGAGAATCTGCACTATCAGCCCTCAGGGCTTAATTTATGACGATTGAAAGAGCTACTAAGTTAATTTATCATTGAGACGATTATGTCGACGTGACTGCATTTACGCAACGCGTTCATTCTGCTATTCGTAATCTCCGAACCAATTGTCGCGAAATATCGTAAATTCAAATGCAGCATCGTGTCATATGTATCGCATATATTGTTCTTATCTATTGCAAAAATACGTAGAATAATTAATAAAATTAATAAATATTTCCCTCCGGGAAATTGCGATAAATAAAGAACACGTAGAAAACTGCGACTCTAATATCCAATCAATTAACGTGAGTTTGAGCAACTATATCAACGTATATTTGTATCTATTCGCGTAAAAAAAATATAAGATATTAAACAATCAGTATTAACAAGCAAGATAGGCTTAGGTGAACTCTGAGACATTCATCAAGGCCGTCTCAACCCTCATAGCTCTGATTCATATCGTACGAAGAGAAAGGAAGTCGTGATCGAGCTAGAAAAGCGAATAAAAATAACTCCGCGTCCAAAAAGGAAATAATATTTGTAACATAATTTATAGCGTAGGGAAAAAAATCGTGAGACACGATAATTGCCTTAATCGTGGTCTTTCAATAAGTCCCCGAGTAACGAAAATCATATTCGATGGAATGTTTACTGCAGTTCCTGAATTCACAGGAATCTCAGTCTCAATCTCCGGCTTCTCACGAGCTACTAAAAAGCCACAGCGTGTTTCTGAAGGAGGCCACATTTACGACCGAGGAAGCCTGAGAGAGGCCTCAAGATTCAGGGCTGAGAGGGTTAACGGCCCTTTCTACGAGTCTTTCTAACATACGGAAACACGTCATTGTGTAAAAGCAGTCTTAAAAGCTACTGTGTGAAGCCGTACTTGATTTTCTCTCGTTTTAATAAGAAATCGTTGCTGCTCAGTGCGCGGTGGCCCCCCGCGCGGTTCTCTCGGCCTCGCGAGAGGCACAGGCCGATAGTGATCATCGGTACCCTAACGACCTAGGTCATTAACTTATAAGTTAACTTAGCTCAGTGTGTCTTGTCTACCGATCAGGGCATCGAACGGAAATAGAATTGCATCGTTATATTCTCTCTCTCTTTCTCTTTCTCTCTCTCTCTCTATCTCTCTATCTATCTATCTCTCTCCGCGGGGTGAGGCGCGAATTAATAAATTAATAACGTTTAATATTAGTACGATATAAGTAAGTATGCGTGTCCCGTATGAAAATTTCCAAAGAGCAACTCTCAACCGCGCGAATCCTTCGAAAATAATTCCGCGCGCGGGTAAATAATAATAAATTGATATTACCGCTAATATATCATATTATTTAATACTAATATATTATTATTTACACTGAATAAAGCTCTTACACTGAGAGACCGAGAGAAGTCACCTTGGAAATTTCCCGCGGGGAAATCGGTTAATCGCTCTCGAAATGAGTCACCAAACCGATCACCAAAAGCGACTCTGGGACGGTTCGGGCCCCATTCGCGCGAGCTTATCAAAGGCTGCTTTCGATTCGATACCCTGCTACCGTCAGGCCGACGACGACTTAGCATGCACAACTGCTCTCCGAGGCTTTCAGTTCGATTGGCGTGTCCTTGAGCACTACCTCTTGCACTACGGATTAAAGAACGTATTAAGGAAAACACAAAAGTATAACGCAAACAAATGGAACGTCCGGCGGATAAGTCGCCAAAGAAATCCGTTTGAAATCAAGAGCGAGAAATTAGAGGAAACAGGAAATAGCTCGTTGGGAGAAGAAAAATGAGAGAGAGAAACAAAGAAAAAGAAACAGAAACTCGAGAAAGTGGAGTACGTGCCGATGAAAATCTGATATATCTCCGATATCCTGGAAAGAAATATATCCAACAGAACGGTTCAAAATGTGCGAGAACCAATAACAATCTCGTATTTCTGATATCCCCTGAAAAGAAGCTGTTACTAATAATATTGAAATCAAATGGAATTTCATATAGATTATCAAATAAAACCCGGAAATAGAATAAAGAAAGAGGTAAATGGAGAGATAGATAAGCAGATATAGAAAAAGACATGAAGATATGAAGAGAACGATTCGGCTGAAGGAAACGGTGAGTGAGGAATGACGAAAAGTCGATACTAAAAAAATGCGTGGGTGTAATTCGCGGGAATAACAGGTGCGGCGAGAATTATGTACACGCGAAATGAAGTCGCCGCGCGAATGTCTCTGCAAGAGTGCCATGCAAAAAGTGCATGCAGTGAGTATCTTACGCAAAGGATACTGTCTTCGGGAGGCTTGTTTTCGGTGGAGTCCATACCCGGCAAAGCCGCCGCTACTCTTCTAAACAGCTAAAATTAATAATTAACGATAATTCTGCCCTGCTTCCTGCCGTTGGAGAAGAGCTCTCAGTCACAACAAAATCTACCGACACCTTCGCGAGGAGTGAAATTTATCGGAGTTATCGAATTAATCGATTGAAAGGTAAAATGACAACTCTCCGTGAAAATCTCGGTGTTTCGTGGAAAAGATTAATTTGGAGCATGTTTTCGTTCAATTGACAATTATATCAAATTCTAATACTAATAACGATAATTCTAATAACAAATTTTAATTGATAATAATGCTAATAGCGTAATGAACTTATCGAAATTTGAAAAACGCAGGAAATGCATTTTGTCCTCGAGGCGGACTTATGGCACATAAAATATGCAGGCTATAAAAAATGTGTGAAATGATACCTGTTTAACATTGTAGCCAGCCTTAGCACTAGTTTCGATAAACATCACATTTAGTTCCTTTGCTTTCCGCTCGCCTTCCTCCGTCGAAACTTGCCTCTTATCACTCAAATCTGTTTTATTGCCCACTAGCATAATTATCACATCACTTCCTCTTTCAGTCCGCACATCGTCTATCCATTTGGATGTTTGGTGAAACGAGTTGGCGTCTATTAAATACGCAATCTTAATTTTAGGGTTCTTTTGTCGGATGTGCCGGTAAAATAGTTTGCCGGCAGCCAGACAACTGTATTATTATCATTGCATTCAATTATTATCGGATTAAGTATATTCAAATTTAAAGAAAAGATTTTTAATTAAAAAGCTTTATATTTTATTATCGTACGATGGAATTTCAAACGATACGATTGCGCAGACATATTAAATGCTTCACAGCTAGCTATTTGATCGACAAATTTGCAGTTCGGAAGGAAGAATCGCTGCTACCGGCACAAGACTTTTCGGCACACATATTCCTTTTATATATATATATATATATATATATATATATATATATATATATATATATATCGGATGCTTACTGGTAATATCGTAAACAACCACCGCGACTGTGGAATCTCTGATGTAACTAGGTATCAGAGAGCGGAACCGCTCTTGCCCCGCTGTATCCCACAGCTGTAATCTCACGGTTCTATCTTCGAGATACATAGTTTTGCTTAAGAAGTCTATACCTATCGTAGCCTGCAACACACCGGATCACGACACTAAAGTCACCCAATCGACTTCTCGTATCATGCAAACATGAAAACTCTCAAACATGCAAACGAACTTGCTCTTGGAAATTCAAAACAAGATTGGGGACACTTTAATCTAACATTAAAAAAAAAACAAATTAACTTGATTAGGGCGCAATGCATTATTTATACAAATATACACACTTTAAATTATACACATGTAAATTTAATTATCAATATTGTTTTTATATTAGTCGTATTTTATGTAAAATTAGAAGTCTCTATAAAACTTTAATAAAATGAAAAGTAATAGCAGAAAAATGATTTTAAGGCATTAAAAATTCAGATGCATTCACTTCTCCTATAAAATTTCCTATAAAAAATTCTCCATAAAAGTAACGATATCGGAAAGTTGTGCCAACTGAAAGGGAGATAGGAAGCATCGTGCAATAATTCAATTAAATAATTCAATGAGCGCAATCGCTCATATTACATATTTACGTTGTGTAACCCGATACCAAATCCCCAAATTTATTGCAAGTACTCATGCAGAATTGCATAGTCAATAAATTGCGTTAAGCGAGAGGCATTCCGGAATACTCGGTAAACACGTAATTAATTAACGTAGGGTGAAGAAATTATTGGAAAGATGAAAATAGCGTGTGACACTATAACGTATTTTCAGAGTGAGATAACAATGGTAAAAGTGCACAAATACAAAAGCAAGTTATCGGCCTTCTACAAATTTCTTCGTCTATCTATGTCTACTAGAAAAAGTCGATATCTCAGTTCCCTACTACCTCTCCTGCTAGCGTTAGGTCTGCTCGTTCTAACTGCTCTTTCTTGCAATTTTTCTGCGCACGTGTGTGACATTCAAGAAAAACAAGCGAAAAAAGAAAGCATAGAAAGTGCGAACCGACAAGCATTCGATGGTTTTTTAGTATTTTAGAAGTATTTTAACTTGTTAGTCATCAGCTGTTAATTGCATGGCGCATTAAAAAAACAAGATTATCATTAATCGACAAAACTAATATCGAGAAAATTAATGAATTGAATGTTTACACCGAGGATTCAGGGAATGAATTGTGTGCGAAAAATACACAATGAGTTTATTGCAGATTGTGTTTATGTAAAAAAAAAGATGATTTAATGTGTGAATATAAGCCAAAGCGGCCGATGTCAATTGGCGAATATAAGTCGAAGAAGAATTTCAATTGTGATCCCAATTCTCCCAATTTGTAATCAATTCAGATTATAATCAACTGAAATTGGTGTATGTCCCCATAGCTGTATAAATAATAGCAAGGTTTAATTCTGTTATATATCGACATCCAACGAGATGTTAATTAACCTCAAATTGGTTGTGCATTAAAATGCGAATGAAATGATTTCAACGATATGACGGATATATGTGCCTGCATAACACCAGCTATTGTTTCTTTCTTATCTAAAGAAACTATGTCAATGGGTGAAGGTTTCCCAATGCTATTCCACGCACGACAGTTTATAGGCAAATACAATAGTTCTCATTCAGTACAGGGCTTATCAGGTTCAATAGCCAAGAAGTTTACTGCCTACTATGAGATATGTGAATAAGTGACAGACGAACTCTATCAATTATCGAAGAATCATGTCTTATACAGAAGTTGGTTTAATTTTAACGAAACATGTGCCACGTGAATTTCTGATAAAATTGAAAAGAGAAGCAAGATTCTTGAGATAAATAACTAACAAGTGTTTGTGATACAAAAATGGGTGCAATACGTTAGTACATCCTCTTGTAAGTTTGAAAAAAAAAACGTGGCGTCCAATTTTAATGAAACATATGCCACGTGAATTTCTGATCAAATCGAAAAGAAATAAAATTCTTAAGAGATAAACATCCAATAAGTGTTTATAATAAAAAGATGGCAGCAATGCAACAGTATATCGTTTTGTGACTTTGAAAAAAAACGTGACATTCAATTTTAATGAAAGCATATATCACCTAAATTTCTGATAAAACTGAAAAGTAAAATTCTTAAATATCCAATATGTGCTTGTGTGGTAAAAAGAACAATACGTCAGTATATCATCCTATAAGTTAAAAAAGCGTAGCATGTACACGGTGCACCATATTTTGCATAGCCTACACGCACATTCATTCAAGGAAAACAGATGCAGGTGATGTAAGTGTAAGAGCATACACTGCAAGTATGATTAATTAGTGCACACACATATAGCAATTAATCATTGAGGAGACAAACTAGAGTCATCACATACCTGGTACGTGTTGTCAAAGCTGTCATACATAAACCGTGTAATGAGAGAAGTCTTCCCGACTGTAATGCAAAATTACATAGTTCTTTCATTCTGAAAACGACTTAAAAGATTATCTACATTTTTTATCGCCTTCTCTTTCAACTTCGCCCGGTATACTCTGAATGATTAATCCACGAAACTTAGGCGACTATCGGTCCTCGTTAAATTTGCATCTCGCGCACGTAGCGAGGCCCCGACGTGATCTACACACGTTCGAGCAAAATTGACGCTCAGCGAGCGGCGACACGTTCAACAACGAGGAGGAGAGGTCTCCCCGTGTCGGGTCGAACTGACGATTCGGCTCGGGGCCATCGCCGTCGCGCATTTAGCACCGAGTCTAGCGCGGCGCGTTAATCTGCAAAAAGCACTGCCGGTCGCGCAAAAACACAAGGCGGCGCGTTTAGCGCTAAACGCGCGGCCAGAAAACTCGAGCGCAGTTACACACGGCGACGCCGTGTCATCGTGGACGGCACGAGCGGTGGGGAATATTGATCCATAACCTAGAAGGCTACCAGGCGACGTCGGCAAGAAGGGTCGTCACCCCGACTGGGATCCGGCCGAGGGACCGGCCTTCGCGACTGACCCTAATCGATTCGCGCGAATCGTCGGGACGGCACTTGGCACTTCGCACGACCAACGAGGAACACTCACCGCTCTGCTCGCCGAGAAAGACGAGCTTGAACTTCCGCAACGGGTTGCCGAAATCGCCCGAGGACGACATGTTTTTCTTTCAGCCTGAGGTGACGGTCTCGCGGTGCCTGACCGGCGGGTGAAAACACAACTCGAATGACCGATTACGCGCTCTCTCAACGGCCGTTCCGTCGAGTCATTTAAACGACCAGCTGTGCCGGCTAAGATGAAACGCTCCACCAAACCGTCTCTCTCGATCACAGGCTGTGAACGGGGCCGCGCTTGACAGCTCGCGACGCTCGCTTGGTTGCCACTCCTAGCTTGCCAGGCGGCCACGTTTAACTGGGAAGTGACGTCGCGCGATCGCCGAGGATGCCGAGGCACCTAGACGGCGCCACGTGACTTCCGTGAGTCAAGAGAAAGAGAGACAGCCGTCGCGCGCGCAGCGACGTCCAATCCTACACGTTGATAAGAAACAATTGAGAGTGAAGCCCACGGCACACGATGCTCAATTCTCTGCTGTGCAGGCAGCGCGATCATTTCGATGACGGCAACGTTCATTATTTCGCGCATGACGTTACCGCGACACAATGTGTGACAGTCAAATACGCGAACGAAACTTGAGCATGTGATCGCTCCCGATGCACTGATTGGTGCATGCAAGGAAGCATGCGCAAGATAACGAATGTTGTCATCATCGAAATTATGCCGCGCACAGCGAAGAACTGAGCATCGTGTGCCGCAGGCTTAAGCAGAATCTTAGAAAGGGGATCGAACCGAGAGAACGGAATAGCGAGCCTGGTTGGCTGTTGCTTTATTGTTGTCATCGTCATCCCGACGGGGAATGTTCGAGGTGCATAGCACCAAAATGACACATATTTAAAGCGGGTTTAGCTCTCTCTTGCTCTTTCTCATGTCTATAAACGCTTTAGTCCAGTATAGACTAGCTGCTATCTAAAATTACTGAGAGATATCGCTCGAGATAAACAGGGAGTACATAGTCGACACATATTTCACTGTTTACATATTTCAAATATTTTGAAAATACGATATCCTGTTAATCATTCGATTCGACCTATTCACACCTATTGGAATATTCATTATGAATATCTCTATGCGATATTTTAATAATAAAAAACTTTGATAAGTATTATTACATTAGCGTGAAACATGTAACGATATAACGATATTCATTCATATTCATTCATATTTATTGCTATATCAGAATAATTCTATTATATTTCTGTTAGTCGATTTTGTTTGATTCAAGGATATCGTTGAGAACGAGTATCGTATTAAGGAAGCATTTTGGTGTTCCGATGTCTTTATAGAGAAAAAGAGAAAAGAGAAATTATCTGTTTATTCATTAATCTCTTCACACATCATACACGCGCTTATAATAATTACAAAATTAGAAATTTCTTTTTAGATTCGTTTTCACATATTTTTCATAGCTGAAAAAATTAACAATACAATCATTTTTTAAATAATGAGATAAAAAATTGCGAATTAATGTAGAAAACGTGACTAAAAAGAAATTGAAACACAAACATTTTATTATTATAACGACAGGTTTGTCGTTCGTGATTTCGACTGTACTTGGTCCTTCATCTTTCTTCTACTATCAATCGCTTTAAAATGAAATAATCATATAATCGGTCTTTCCTGAACCATGAGAGCGAGTTTCAGGAAGAGCAGTAATCTGGTCGTAATATTTTTTTTTTTTCTTTTTCCCCCTTTTTTACACGTATATACACGTCATGCACACGTTTACTGAATTCTCACGCATACCTAGGTACAAGCACAGCCACCCGTTATATACACATCACAGATTTCCGTGTAACAATAGCAGAGCAAAGTTCCCTGTTTCAATGAGGTTCCTGCTGCAATCTGTTGTTGTTCGAGTTTCTGTAGGCATCCTCCACAACAATGGAATTACATATCAAATCGTAGCCGGTTCTGTTGAACCTGAAGAAGAACAGTGAGAAACAGATGGGGAACAGGAACGCGAGCACGAAGTTCTTCACTACCGACCGACCCAGGGCCAGCGGCAGGCCCAAATCGGTCCCGGGTGTGACCAGAACCACGTCCGGCTCGTTAGGTCGCTCCACGGGAGTTATACTTCGACACTGGACTACCCGCAAGCCCATCATGTACTTGCCGGGAGTAGCGCCCCCGATAGAACCGTAGATGCCGTGCTGCAGCCAGAAAGCCTGAGACGTTTCAGAAAAAGGAAAAAAATCACGCACTGCGCTCTTTCCTCGAGTTAGAGGACGATCATCTCGTATGGAAATAAGTTTTGCGAGAGATTTTCAACTAGACAATTTCAGGCGAATTACACTCAATTATCAATCGCTTGATAATATATATATATATATATATATATATATATATATATATATATATATATATTCCCTCCTTGAAGAATATCCTTACCTCAAATATACAGACTATTACACGATGGATCACTTCTAGTATAAGAATTCCGTAAGTCATCTCCAGTGCCATTTTATAATCGATGCGTAAATTCGTTTGCAATACATCTAGCTCGTCGAGATCTCTGGAAAGATACAACCACTATGAAGTATCGCAATTGGGCTGTTATAGAGCGCTTGGAAGATTGCATGTTGCATGCGAAAGAAAGGAAATAATAATCTTTTCTCAGGAACTAGAAGATGTATTAGAGATGAGTACTGGAAATGAGCAGAAAATGAACCACGACTTAGAATAGGAAGCTAAACAGAGGAAATAGAAGAGTAGAGGTTTGCATCCTAGTGGAAGTGCTGCTCATGTACAAGTGAATCTCTCTCTTTGAAGGTGAAACTTTGGACAGGCGTGTGCCGTGGAAAATTACTGTGTGAAACGAAATTATACATTTTACGTACATAAAGTCGAAGACATCAATCGCGATAAACGAAATAGAGAACTTCAGGAGAAACAACATCGTTGAATCTATGAATTCTGCGGCGAACCTTTTCCAAATCGGCGGGATGCGATACTCGTAACCTGAAAAATCGAAAGCGTTAATTGGGAGCAAATACACAACAGTGGCGTACCAATTTCGCAGAGATAGGCTTATTTGAAACGGAAACTAAAATAACTGAAACACAGGTCAACAATCGAACCTTCAGTTCCTGGCGGTTGGAAAGGTCCTAGCGACTCCTGAGGCCTCCTTTGCCTTAAGGTCTCGTTTTGCCTATCCGCATTCCCTATTATCGGCCTAGTCGGCGCTGTGGGTATCTGATTCGGTTGAAAGGGTGTTGAAGCTAAAATCACAAAGTCTATTGTGGAAAACTATTCAACCTATCTCCATAATCCTAATTTCTATTATATTGGCATGATCATTTGAATTGATTAATTATAATATCAATCATAATATTAATTGAAACGTGAAGAGCAGGCTGTTTCTATCCAAACAATCATAATCTGTAACTCAGATACACAAAATATATAATTATTTCGGCTTTCTCAGACCTCATCATTCTATTCAAGATGTAAAACTAACTCGAAAGAATTGTCATTTTAGATTTTTATTACAACTTTGTTAACAAAGCATTTTAAGCCAAATGCTTCTCTTCCATTCGTACATGAGATCAATGAAATTTATGTAAAAAAATAAGAAGAAACGCCTCACTTTTGTCTTTTGCATTGTGAGATCACTACAAATGAAATGCGCTAAAAAATGTTAATATTTTCACAGATATTGATCAAGTCCAAATGCAAATATAATTTTTACTCTGTTGATGTGAAACAAAAATTAAGTTGCTAAGTATATGTGCTCAATTGACATATATTGCTTGATATTTCTAACACTCGTACTTCTTTGTACTATTAGTTCTGTATTTGCTTTGTATCCGTTTTGTTACATTTTTTTATTTCGTAATTGTATATATTTACATTCTACACTTATGTATCTGTTCATACTTATATACTCTAAGTCGCCTGCTCTACGACATTCTTTGTTATTTTTCAAGACGATACGTGCTCGTCCGCGTTCATACCGGCAATCGGATTCACAACATGCCCCGATATCACGTAATAGGGGAACATTGCGGCGACACTCTGCCAAGTGTACACCTCATGGAGCCACTTTTCCAGCTTCTTAAAATACTGCGATCTCTCCTCCGCCGGATCCAATTTACTGTCGGGATCTCGCTCCGGCGTGTCATCGATGTTTTTGTCTGCTGCCATTTTGAGTACTCGCTCGCCTGCGGAAGAAAACAAAATCGGTTCGCGACTCAACAAGGTGTCGCGCCTCCCGCGAACGTCGCTTATCACTCCGGATTTCCTCCTCTTTTGACCGGGATCGTTGACAAGACGTGACAATCGAGATTGCGATCGCCGCGATTGTCGTCTGGTCGATTGACTCTCACTGACATCAGCGGGCAAACGCGACTCTCAAACGAGGAGCAGTGCCGAAAGAAGAGAAACTACCGCGACTGATAACGCCGTTTATCGCGGTTAACCGCAGTAACGGTCTGTCGATACCTTTGCCGTGAGTGATCAGCCACTACTACGCATCTACGCTCGCAAACGCGCTAACCGTCACTGCCCATCACACTGACGTGTATGATACTAAATGGGCGCTACAATGTAACGCGCTTAGTCAGGATAGCTCGACAAATTGTCGTGGTAAGACGCACAGCTGTTGGCTTTTCCCCCAGACCTCAAGGACGTGGGGATAATTTTAGGTCAATGCCTAAAGCACACCTCCGACGGACCAATCGAAGCTTGAACACGTTGTCATTAAAAGCAGGCCTGGTCCAATGAATATCAACAACAAATCAATCGCGAAATCCGGGACATGCTTCTAAAAGAGAATACAGTAAATACGCGGCTAATTCTTCGTCCTTGCGATCTTTGAATAGGATCTATTTCGAGAGATTAATTTAGTTTCAATTCATATCTTTACACATATATATGAGAAATTATGTCAGCCAAATATACGAGAGCAGATGTCCAAGAGAGACATCTGGTAGTCTGGACTGGTAACATATGCTAGAGATCTTGAGACTGACTGTACTTGTCCAGAATTGGAACACAAATAGAACTACTGCTTCGCCAGAGAGCCGCTAATATTCTCTAGATGTACAACGAATTTATATTGTTTTTTTTTTTTAATGTTAATTTGATACAAATTGAATCACGCCTGCTTTAAAATGAGCTGCGACACTGCACCTGCTCCAAATGAACTAAAATACTTCATTTGCTCCAAAATGAGAGTATTTTTAATACTCTCTTCAGATGTCTAATTGATGTTTTCTTTTCTTTTGAATCCTAATATCCTAATATCCTAATATTCCTAATGTTACTTCGCTGGCTATTCCCGTGTTTATTATTCGCGTCAGCATTTTGTATAACTTATTCTCCTGCAATCCCTTTTTCTTACTCTTAGATACATAATTACTCCACTTCACACATTCCAAATGTTAGTAGTACAAAATACAATAAACCTTCTAAGTGTAACAATAATACTAATGAGCACGAGCGACAAGTGGGAAAAGTTCTGCACCAAAGTGCCGTCCCGAAGAACAGGTGCACTAGGTCGCACTAGAGACATTTCGTCACCTGCCGCTCTTCTGGACAAGCTCGCGCTACCCGGCTGTACGCGGACTCAGGTGAGAAACTTGAGGCGCGCACTTTCCCCTGAACAACGGAAGCGGCCTTCGGCGGAGAAGGAGCTGGTTTCTCTGGTAATGCCAGAACGCCCGACGTGCTCGCAGCCCTGGTTCAGTAACCACGGTGGGTCGCTGCGCGTTTCCGACTGATGAGCCAGCCAGCCAGCCAGCCAACCAGGCGGGCAGCTCCTCGTTGTGCGCGGATTGTTTTCACGGGAAAATCAGGTGGCGGTCGGCCGTGGTTGCGCGCGTGATTGCACGCGGGCGTCGCAGGGGAGAGAGATCGTGTGGGAGCGTCGCGTCGCGACGCCGCGGCAGTGACAGCTCGGAACCCGAAGAGGGTGTGGGCCGCGACGCCACCGCCAGCGGATGCGCTTAGGTAAGGTCTCACTCGTAGACGACACCTCGCGTGCTTGCCTACCTACGTACGTGCGTGCATGTCGCCGGACAAAAAGAGCGCGTCGAGACCGGCGAACCGACGACCCCGCGACGATCCGGATTTTCCCATAAGATCGGGACTTCCACGAGATAGCGAGATCGGGAGAGCGTCGATCGTGATATCCGTAACTCGCGGTGCGCTTTTCGCACTCCTTCTCTTCCTGTCTCGATCTATCCATCTATCTATCTCTCTCTTTCTCTCACTTTTTCTCGTAAAGAAGACGAACCACGGTGGTTTTCGCGTGGCCGCGTCGCACAAGCCCCAGCACACCGGTGGCAAGTCTCCCCCGCCGCGCAGAACACCTTTTTTCGAAGGGAAACGGGAAACCGCGCCGTCGCGATTTTTCACGCGCGCGTCAAGCAAGGTCGGAGCGAGCCGTACCTGTTCCCTTGGGTCATTCCCACGAAACGTCAGCCAGCCGGAATTCCGTGAATTCCTCCAACAGTAAGTCGACTCGGAGCTCGGGACTGATGTACGCGGACGAGTCCCGGCCTCGTCTCATCTCGTCAGGTCGCGCGTAACGACGTAGGTTACTGTCAAGTTATTCGCTCCAAAGTGACCGGTAGCGATTGTTTAATATGGCACTTATTAATCGCCTGTCGCATATCCGCTCGGTGCGAGCCCACGAGTGAGCGAACGAGCTCATTTCTCGAGCGGGGTGCGAGAGACTCGGCCTTTCCCAAGCGCGTTTTAATAACCGGGCGTTACGCACCCTGGAGATTTGGACTCGATAAATGGACGTTGCAGTATCAAGTCGTCAGTTGTAGAGAAACGATCAAGTTACATGCTACACGCCGAAAAATACACTGCATGCACGTTGTAAATGTTACTTGCTTCAAGCACCTCATAAGTTTATATATCCGCTAAGCTATTGTATGTTCGTCACAAGCATCAAGTTTACTCAAAATGCATTGTGAACCGTAATAAGTTTAAAACTTCAGTCAAGAATATTAATTTAAACATAAAAGTTCGGTTTACTTGCTATATAAAATTGAAACGACTATTTTCTCCGTAGAAGTTTATAATATTTCTGCGAAGAGAATAAATTTTTCTTTTGAATTTATGATAATGAGCCTTCCTCAAATTTGTCAAAAGTATTATTTTGAAGCTATTATCGAGAAAATATTCTTTGCTAAAAAATTCTCCGTGAAGTTTTATAATATTCTTGTAAAGAGAATAAATTCTTCTTTTAAGTGCATAGCAATGAATTTCCCTCAAATTTATCATAAGTATTATTTGGAGATTATTATTGAGAAAATAATTAATAATGTTTTAATAATAATGTTTTGCTGAAGATAACCATTGCTTAAAAGAAGGAAGTGAATTGAGAAGTCGCTTTTCTTGGCAGCAGAATGATATTTTTCTGCCTGCACGCGACACGAATTTCGTCATGTACTTCAGAAATCGCGAAAAGATTCGTCGACTACAGACAATGACTAGTAACGTTGTGCCGACGTGTAATTGGATGCACAATACACTGCCGAAATAGAAAGAAATCTGCATTATTCCGAGAGAAGGAGAGAATTCTATTATATCTCAATCTTGGAAACCATCCCTAGCTGCCCTAGAGACTACCGAATGTACCCATTTATATAATTTCGTGAATCAATTTAGATTCTCCTTTGACGAGGATATTGGGAGAGTTCATTATCCATCGAGCACACGTTCGACATCGTCATCGTGATCAGAATTCCAATGAAAATTTCACTTTGAATCGACCCGAGTCGAGCGCTTTTTAAGTGAGCCGAAAAATACAGATTTTGTGATGCGCTTTCTCGCCCAAAGTTCAGTCGACAACGGAAGTCTCTTATCTTCAGTTGTCAACTACTCGAAGATTGCAGGCAGGCTCGCGGAAAATACGAATTTCACGTCGGTTACGAAATTTAAAGGAATCCAAGAAGGACCCTAAAATTGTTATCAAAGAAAGAAAGAACATTAGCGCGAAGCACATCCGGTGGTTTCAGCGCACCCTGTACATGGCGAACGGATTACGTGAAGAGGTCGCGAAAGGCGATCCCATTTGTCACGGTAATAGACGCGGCACAATAGCAGATTCCAAAGATTGTGGCGAGCCATTGTCGAAGACGTCGAACGAATCCTCTCTCTACGTTCTTCTCGCCTCCGCTCAATTGCGTAACGGTAATTAAATTAATTAATACTTACCGTGTACGTGCGTCTTGCGCGACGGTGCGCGCTAATTAATTAGCGTGACTCTGTGACATTTAATTGCCAACGCAAATCTCCTATCGCGCGAATGCGTTTTTCCGTTCATTTCAATTTCAAACTCATCAATGCTGTCAACAGCTCTCGATTTTCGCACGCCGTTAATTAGCGCGATCGCGTTATAACGTCATCTTCACTTTGTAAAATTTTACAATAATACATCGCAAAATCTCGCGGATCAAATGGCAATTTTACGTTGCGATTTTGCGCGTGTGGAGAAAATTTTGTAGTAAAAATCACTTGAGGATTTCGTAACCGATGTGATAGATCGACATTCTGCAGTAATTCATTGTCCTTTCATTTCACACATGTTACTTATGTTCCAGGAACTGAAACGCGTTGTTAAAAATTTTTAACAAAACACAGTAAAATTTTAGCGAAATTTAACATGTCTCTACAAGATAGATTTTACTAACACTTTTTGCCTTATTACGCGGTGTGAAAAACATTTCGTGTTAAATTTTTAATATACCCATGCGCCAATTTATCGTATTGTCGTTATGTTATTTCCACTATTCCGCGTTGAGTCCGCATTCCTCATTTCTAAGCGTTAAAACGACACAATTTTCACGTCTTCGTGTGCATTCGTGTATGACACATTTTATATGCACTGAGAAAAAAACAATTAAGTCAATAAGACTTTGCCTGAGCGAAGAAAATTCGTTCAAGCGAACGTTTGAAGTCGATTGAGCGAATTATATCGTTGCTGTTATGAGATATCAATTGGTTCAATGATTGCGATTTGATTAGTAGCTAAATCAACGCAACTTACTGTAGTACTAATGCATGATTTGTTTAATGGACGCAAGATTTCTTTGAAATTATTATCAAAAATGATCGCTATTTTTATCGATCTGTTTTTTTTCTCAGTGTATAGAGCGGAAAAATGTGTTATTCGTTAACATATTCATCCCTCGTGCTAAATTAACGTGAAGATTACAGTGGATGAATTGGGAACTGCGTGAAATTTAACGAAAAACTGTCTGCAGTATGTGGAATGACAGTAAAATTGAAAAGAATTCACGTACGAAGACAAGAATTCACGTACAAATCGCGATAATGCTTTAACGGTTATCGTAATGATCAGCGTTAATTTTCACGCTACTATCGTCACACGACGCTAAGAATTACACTTTTCGCGGAAGGTGACGCGAGGGGCATTTAAAACATTTATATTCACGAAGGTGTGCATCCGCGACTCATATACTCGCCTGAAAGCACTCGTTCATAAACCACGCGGCCGCTAAAAGCCGCGGACGAGCGATGCTGAGAGCGATTATCGTTATCGATGCGAATGGATTCTCTGCCCGGCCTTTCCGCGGAATAGCGCGATAACGGCGGGATATGTGTATATATGTTTGTGTGTATGTGTGGAGAGAAGGGAGGAGTTACATAT